GCTTCTTCGGAAGTACAGATAATCTAGGTACTTAGCTAGCTTGGATTATGGTGTGCCAGTCGAGTCTAGGATGCTCTGATACGTAGCACGGGACTTGGGTGTTTTTATTTGTTTTATGCTGAACTTGTATTTTGTTCCTGTGAACGTATCAAAAACCTTTGTTGGATTTTACTATTTAATATTCCGCTGTATTTGGAGAAAAACCTTTTTATAAGGAAATGTTGGTTTTGCTATGTGATATCCCACTTGGGAAGAAAACTCTGATGTTTATTTATAATGCAAATACCTTCCTCCTTCTCATGCCTCAAGTGTTACTTAGCCACTCAAGATCCCTCTCATTTTGATGTTAATTCAACAACTACCTTCTCCCTCTCATGCCTCAAGTGTTACTTACCCACCAGCTTCCCATTGGTTCGTCCCCGAACCACATCATACTGGGAGAAATTTGGCTCTAATACCATTTGTAACGCCACATACTGCTTTCAAGAATATCGCCTGACCCCACAAACGAACACGAGTCTTTTCAACATGTTTTTTCCTCACTCATATGCTTTCCGGGAAACTTCCCAAAAGGTCACCCATCCAAAATACTACTCCAATTCAAACCTCCTTAACTATGAAGTTCTTATTTGTTAAGCTACCTAACGGAATATGCATCTTGTTGGTATAGGTAGTACCAATCAATCCTTATAAGCCTTTATCCAACCATGCAGTTCCATACCTACATAGCCTCAAGATCTCTCTCATTTCGATGTGAATTCGACAATCACTCCCCGCCCTCTTCAACCTCGAGTGTTACTACAAGTCAGGTTACAAAAGCAATATTTTGTTAAAACTAAATTCAAAATAAAATTTCATATATTGACATGTCACTTTGCATGAATATATATTACAATTTCCATCCACCAATAACAATCCTAACCATAATTGGTGTGTTTATCCCAACACCAGTACACTTGTTACACCTCCTAAGACCAATGACCTTAACCAACACTCCTTAAATACACCAACACATATCATTCATCCCATTTTACCTACGCATCCCACCTTTAAAACAAATATCACACCAGCTGATGATTTTGATCATGACCTGTCTATTGTACCACATGATCAAAATGACATACCTCCACCGAGAACCAGATATCCTCCATCATATCTTAGGGGTTATTTTTGCAACTCATTCAGTGATTCATTCAATCACACATCTTCAAATACTCAATATCCTTTGTCTCATCATATGTACTATTTAAAGTTATCTCCTATTCATAATCACTTTGTCATGTCTCTTAACACAATCATTAAACCAAAATATTTTGTTAAGGCTAACAAGTTTGATTGCTGGAAATAAGCTATGCAAATTGAACTTGTATCTCTTGAAAAAATGGGTACATGGGACATAGTGGACCTATCACCAAACATCATGCGTATAGGTTGCAGGTGGGTGTTAAAAACCAAATTTCATGCTAATAAATCAGTTGAGAGATTAAAATCTAGGTTGGTTGCCAAAGGGTATAACCAAATTGAAGGGTTAAATTACTTTGGTACATAGTCACATATGTCCAAATTAATTATTGTCGGGTTTTTCATTACTATTACTTCCATCAACAGTTGGTTCATTCATCAACTAGATGTGAACAATGCTTTTCTTCACGGTGATCTCCAAAAAGATGTTTACATGGTCATTCCTCCAGGCATCAATCCTCCAAAGCAAAACCAAGTATGCAAGCTCATAAAATAATTAATATGGTCTTAAAAAAGTCACAGAAAATGGTATGAAAAGCTCACTTCAAAACATAATTGTTACACAGAAGCCAGTGCATACCATTCCTTATTCATCAAGAAAAATCCCACTTCCTTCACTCTTCTTTTGGTATATGTTAATGATATCATCCTTGTAGGAAATTCCTTGGTGAATTTGACGAGATCAAATCCATACTACATCAAACATTCAAAATAAAAATATAGGTCAATTGAAGTTTTTTCTTGGCTTAGAAGTTGCTCATTCCAAAACAAGCATCTCTTTATGTCAGAGAAAATATCACTTGGATCTGTTATTTGACTCAGGAATGCTTGGCTCCAAACCAATTTCCACACTTGCAAACCCTTCAATAAAGTTATTTCATGATGAAAGTCTTGCATATCATGATATAACCTCTCATAAAAGATTGATCGATAGGTTACTCTATCTAACAACAACAAGACCACATTACATTCATCACTCAACAACTTAGTCAATTCCGGAACAAACCAACCACCACACATTTTAATGCAACAACCAGAGTTCTACAATACCCTAAACATTATCCTGATTAAGGCTTATTTTTTCAAAGAAGTTCATCACTCTATCTTATTGGATTATATGATGCTGTCTGGGAAGGTTGTATGGAGAGTAGAAGATCATTATTGGGCCAATGCTTCTTCTTAGGCAAGTCCATCATTTCTTGGCACATAAAGAAGTAACTAATTGTTTCTAGATCATCTTCAGAAACTGAATATCATGCATTAGCTGCAACAACATGTGAGCTCCGATGACTTGTGTATGTACTTGAAGATCCCCAAATCAATTCCTTCAAGCTACATGTTCTCCACCGTGACAATCTTAGTGCAATTCACATTGAAGCAAATCACGTGTTCCATGAGCGCACTAAACACTTGGAAATTGATTGCCAAGTTAGCATCCTTAAACTTTTTCCTGTTTCCTATAAATATAATATTGCAAATATCTTTACTAAACCACTCTTATCTCAACCATTCCACACCTTGCTATCCAAGTTAGGGATGATTGATATTTATCCTACAACTTGTGGGGGATAACACTCGAGAAAAATGAAGATAAAGTAGTTACAAGTTAGTTATGTTAAGTAACTAACTTGTTAGTTGAAATTTCCCTTTATAGTTTGGTGCTTAGTTGATTAGATTGCAAGCTTTCCTCATTTAGCATATGTTAGTTACAAATTTGTTAGGCTGTATAACTATGTATAATTGCTCTAGCTTATTAACATGCTACACATACCATTTATAAGTACCATCTGTAACTCTCTTTTAAAGCTTAATGAAGTAAACTGGTTTTATTCATGATAATATATTTGCCAAAAGAAGGTTGTGATATCTTTCATACAGAAAAGTATGTTCATTTGTAACTGGAAAACAAAGTTTATGGGAATTGATTATCCCACCTTATAGGGTGGAAAAATACCCTATGGAAACCCGAAAAATGCCCCTCAGATTCCAGAGATACATCTCCAAACGCACCAAATAAGTGTAACCCCAGATTAAAACAAAAAATTATTCTGGAGATGCATCTCCGGGTATTTTCAACAAATATATCGATATTTGAGCAGTCCAGTGGATTTTCTAGAGATGCATCTGCGGAGGTTTGGGGCGAGACTTTGAAATTTTTGTCACCTTTGCATGCCAAATATTTTTGGAGACACATTTCCGGAATAAGTTGATAAAACATTCACCTGCATGATCACAGACCCATACTTGTTTTTCACGTAAAACCCTTTCCAAAAACCCTTTAATTCTCAATAAACATTTTCATTCCAAATCTTTGTTCTTATGTTTCATCACATCAAAGGGAGCAAAAGAAGCTGGAATTCCAGGTAAAGATCATTTATATCAAACCTCATTGCTCACATTAAGTTTATTTTTTGTATGAAAACTTTTGTTTTATCCGGAGATACATATCCGGATTCTATATGAACTCGCCCAAAGATGCATCTCTGTAGGCTGTCAATTATCATTTTTTCAACTCTATGTACAATATTAGCACTTGTCGAGTGTTTTATTGTAATTGTTTTCATTAGATATGATGAACCCTAATGTTTTCCTCAAACATGTTGTGTCTCTGGATGCCTAGGGTGTTATTGTGAAGGGGGTAGATATTGACAACCAATTAAAAAAATGAGCATGAGTTTGAATTTCGTGATCACATGCTTCAATGAATTATTACGGAGGCCTCCAAATTTGTATTTGGTGTGGTAATTGTAACACCTTAAACCCCGACTCTTAATAAAAAAGAGAATTTCACAACTTCGGATGCTACGCAACACTTAACTTACATATTTTTTAAAATCTTGTAGCGGAAATCAAATTATCTTATAACATAAAATAATTATTTTAAAAAAATACTCAAGAAAAATAACTCCAAACATTAACTTAAAACAAATAATATGCCCCGTTCCCGGTGTTATTAATAAAATCATATAAACCAACTTAATAGCGATAATTATAAAAATAAATGAAAACAAGCTTAGAGGTTATCTTCTAACTCACAAGCAACTACTCCTATTTAGTATTTGTATAACAATTGCACAAAGCAAACAAAACAAACAAGAAAGGGGTGGGAATACACCTTATAAGTGTTAATGGTGATAATTAACAACATGATGGTAAACAACAACAATCACAAGTGTATTATTAACATAAAACACAATCACAATTCAAATTGTAATGCAAATGCTAATGCCAACAACCCCCTTCATCAATATGCATATGGTACAGGATTTTTGGGGTCAAAGGTTTGTTATCCATTGTCCATGTTGTTGGTTCCTCTTGAACTGTGTCCCTCTCTGAACATGAGACCGCCATAGTTCCTCTACGAACTTGGCCATCACTGGACCGAAGTCCAACTTAAATCCAAAATATATGCATGCATGATCATGTATAAAATCAAGCATGCAAATTAAACAATCATCACAAATCGTAATAAAAAATCACCTCAAAAATCACCATTAAAATCCTCGTCAAAATATGGTTCCACACTTGAACCACAAGGTTTCCAATCACGAGTTTCACTATAATCTCACATGATTCCTAGTTTTAAAAATGTAATTTTGTCAATAAATAAGCCTCACTGTAATCCACCAGATTACTAATTTCAAAAATATAATTTTAAAAAGCAATTATTATTCACCTCAAAAGGAGTAAAGTTATATTACTACTCAATAACTCTAAACTCATTAAAAAAAAGAACACGGTGAAGAAAATGCTCTAAGATGGGGACACAGGCGAAAAGGGGACGATGGCGGCCGTATACCACAGTGCCACTGTCATCGATAAATCATCCTTGTCCATTGATGCGACATGATAAGGAGACTCCGAATCAGGCCATGGTAGAGGAATATAGTAGTAAATGCATCGAGAAACCAATAGAGGAAGTTATGATCAAAAATGAAACCCTAGAAGATGAAATCGAGATAGTTGAAGATGAAACCCTAGAACTTGAATCCAAGGTTGATCCTGAGAATCGAAAGTTGTGGCTTGATGTGCTAAGCGAGAATCGAAATCCGACAAAGGGATTGCCAATGGAGTGTGTTACACCATCTGCGGTAAATGGGGAAGTAGAAATTGAGATATAGTGAAATTCTGGTATGCAGATCTCAGATGTTCTAGGAGATGCTAAGAACATTGACCTCTGCTAAAACAGAACACGGACAGAACATGATCATTTTAAATCCCTTTAAAAATCAACAATGTCATGACATCTGTTGTAACATCTGCAGACTGACAGAACTATTTATCTAACCATTTGAATTATGCAGAATTGTAAATGCTGAAAGATAAATAACACAATGAATTGTTAACCCAGTTCGGTGCAACATCACCTATATCTGGGGGCTACCAATCCAGGAAGGAAATCCACTATTAGCAGAATTAATTCAGAGCTAAACTCCCAGTTTACAACTCCTCACTTAATCTCTACCCAATGCAATTTCTTCCTAGAACCCACTAGACAAGAGACACCTCTCACTCCCCACAATCACAGCAGTGATAACCATTCAATACACAAAGAAAGACTTTAGAAGACACTCTTCAAAGTCACAATACTTGATTTTTCTTAACAGCTTTAATTAAGAACAATACACTCTTGCTTAAAAGCTTTGAGTGAATAATTAACACTTTACAAATAACAGCCTAAATATATCTACCACGATGCATCCAAAGGGTGACTTACACAGTCACACACAAAAGAATCTCAAAACCCTAAAACACAAAACCACACGTGAAGATTAAGTTACACCAATAGAATTCTTCACGACACAATCTCTCTCTCTCTCTCTCTCTCTCTCTCTCTCTCTCTCTCTCTCTCTCTCTCTCTCTCTCTCTCTCTCTCTCTCTCTCTCTCTCTCTCTCTCTCTCTCTCTCTCTCTCTCTCTCTCTCTCTTTCTCTCTCTCTCTCTCTTCAGTCAGGATTACCACTCCTCTATTTATATGCAGCGCATGGACCTTGGGCCTAAGTGGAAGAGATTAGGTTTAACCACGTTAAACCCTTTTTCCATAAATTAGGGTTCTTTCAATTAGGTCAAAGGCATTTTATGTTATGCTCAGTACTTCCTAGAATCTCGCCTGAGATAACTAAGGAACCATAATAGGTTTCTTGAATTCTAGCCTGAGATAAATCAGGAACCATAACAGAAAAACAAGCAGCGCCCTTCCTGGCAGCTACCTGATGTCATAACATTCAGCACAACAGCCAATACACTCTGTTATTAGCTAACCAAACTTACCCTGCAGTACACTCCTGCAGAATCTTCTTCATAACAGTAGAAACAAATATATTATAGTTTCCTAAAAAGTCTCAAAGATCATTTTTATGAACACTAATTAAATCTGCACTTTGTTCCTAATAACTCTCTTTGACCTGCACATACTGATGAGGTATATCCAACAGAATCTCATCAAACCAAAACACATATGTCAAGAGATATAAAATAGCAGCTCCTACTGTATCAGACAAGGATGTCACGACATCTATCTTAACATCTTGATTAAAACACATGACAACAGTTCTGTCACCACAGCAGAGGGAGATGTTATAACATTTTGCTTAACATCAGTGCAGAATCATGTTTTACCAAAATTTAGCAAATCATAGAACCATGGACAATCATAGAATCATGGAACTAACAATCTCCACCTTTGATAAATTTTGGCTAAAACAACCAAACAAACTTATCCAAGACAACAGATAACATTAACACTTTACTCCCCCTTAGTTTAGCCCAAAAATTGATAAAAATTAGAGTAAATGTACACACATATAAACTCATATGCACACATCAAACAGAGCCAAACCCAAAAACTAAACCATAATCACCATGCTTTAAAGCAGGACTCAACTGACAAATTGCACATGATCTCCAAAAATCCAGTCATCTCACAATCTTCCAAGAGATACACGAGCTGCTTAATCTCTAATCAATATATAGACTGCACCACTGCAGCAACAATCCAACAACAATCGATGCCTTCAACATAGTAAAATCAATCACACACAATCATACAGTCTATTATGGAATATGGATGTCAAGACATCTAGGATGACATCTTGAAAAACACCTGTTCCATAACACAAAATACCACCCGCTAGTCCAGACTACAGATGTCACAACCTCTAATGGAACATCATGTGATACTCCCTCTCAACTAATGCACAACATATCATGGCACATAAGCCAAACACAACCTACCAGCAACCTGCAGAAACACACACTACCCAAGCAACAACTAGTCTACTACTAAGTTCCATCAAGGAACACACACATACTCAACATCAACAGCAATAATCACACACACAGGATCATCATCTTGTTCACACCAAGAGATCAACTCCAGCACATCAGCTCACCTGCAAATCAACCCAGAGCAGCAGTATATCATCCTCCACCTGTGATGCACATACAACTAAACCTGTTGTTTCTACTACTACTTCTCCCCCTTTTAGCCACAAATTTAGATCATAACTAATGTCTTAGCATTGATCAAATAAGGTCAGAAACACAAATGGTAAAGGATATGGAGACCCTAAAATTACAAGATAAAGCTCATGAAGAGCAACACAAATATCCCATTCTGTCAAGGCAGACACCAAAAGCAAAAATCTAACCAAAAGGGAAAACTAGCCAATCCAACAGACCATCAGCACCAGCACAATGTCAAAACAAGTAATGCAACTACACATCAGACATGCACATAGCTCCTCCTGTCATGCATAATCAGTACTCCCCCTAAAAGGGATGACCCAAATACATGAAGAGTCACTTCGTCATCTTCATATCACACACTGGTAACTCATGCAACTTTACACCCCTTGATTTATAAATACACTAGAACAAATAGCAGAAGTAGTTGCAGGATAGACAACTATCTGTAAGTTCACGCAGATTCAACTTAGAAAAAAAAACTCCAAAATGTCAGGGTGAGTTTTCCTTGACTTCCATATAAACAAAATCAGAGTTGATGATGTCTTGATCTTCATCTTCACCAGTCAAACAAGACAACTCACTTGGATAGAGGCCCACAAACCTGATTTGATCCATTGATACCCAATGACAGAACAAAAAAAAATACACTATCAGGTTCACCATGAGCTAGAGCAGTAACATAATGTCACAACATCTTGTCTGACATTCCATCCTTCTAGAGACATAAAATCACAAACTACTTGAAACCACAAACAATCTTGAGAAATAACTGTACTATTGCAACAACAGATCCTAGATAGAAGTATAACTCCCCATATCATGGATAACTAGTGCTCTTTTTCAGAAGCACGTGAAAGGAAAACATAAGACTCATCTTCATGTCTTCAAGAGCTCACTCTTTGTTCAACACACCTGCTAAATGCATTCACTCACTGCTTGAACCACAAGCAACTAGTACACCCATCAGATAGAAGCTCTCCCCCTATCTTCTATAAAAGTCGCTCCTTACAACAAGAAACACCCAAGATCACCACATTATCTCTCATGACCAATCTCTATGCTCATATAATGAGAAGGCACCAAACTGCTCCACTTCTTTCCTGCAGTAGAAGAAACCACTTCTCCACAGGTATTCTAACCTCAGCCTGAGTCAGAGAACAAGATAGACACCCCATAATCCAAGACATTATTTCCTCATCATTCTTCCATATGATAAGTTAGAATACTTCTAGTTTAACTGGTGAATATTCACTTCCATATAACACATCATCCTTCAGACTTTCATGCAATCAACCAATGACCCACTCCAGTCTTGTATAATACCTTCACATCATACTCCAAGACAGTCATTTTACCTCATCATTCTCCCGTATGACAAGATAGAGTACTTCTTAGTCAAGATGTGAGTCACAAGTTCCACAACAGATCTTAAAGTCCTTCTCCAAGTAAAAACAAGCCAGGTGATACACAACATCCAAAGGTTCTTTATATGCCCACAACTGGACTTACTACTGCCTAGTAATCCAACTGAAGATCTTTAGAGAACACAGCTCTACCAGCTTAATCAAATACATCTCCAAAAGAAGGTAATCTTCTATAAGCAACTTAGGGCTTCTACCACAAGCACTAATATATGAACAGAACCAGATCCTCCTTTGGTATTCAAACAACTACCCTTCTGCACAAGAGTAAGTTTCTCCAAGCACACTACTTAAATAACCAATTGCCATTGTTTGGTTACTCAGCATCTTTCAGAGCTCTAGAAGATCTTTTGATCCACCAAGAAAACTTAATCTTCAAGTTACATATCCTACTTGCTCCATAGAAAGGCATCTTAGATACACCAAGGTTTTGACCTGCAACACCTACTCCTTCTCATAGCTCCCACAAATTTCATGAGATAGATTATATCAACTTATCTTCAAATGATGTACCATTACTTCAACTTAGACTCTAAAGATCAGCTTGATGTCAGAACCTCTGATGAGACATCCACTGGTGACTTCAGTCCTTTATTCTGCCACTTAGAAGGACCTCATCACTTTATCAGAACAAGAGTACAAAGACTTGATTGATTCTATCAAATTTGAGTAGACAACATGTATTCTGCATTTTCTTTAAAAACTCCTCTTTAGAGAAACCAAATGTGCCAAGGCTTGATTCTTCAGAGAAGAAGGATCACAAAAATCTGTACAAAAGGACTCCCGCTTTCCTTAAGTAGTGACTTCTTTAGAAAGTCAAAGATAATCGCCACTTATCCTTGACACCTACTGCACTCCATTACTGATCCAAGATGATGAAATCTACAACTTTACTTCTTTAGACAAGTTTCTTGCCAGGAAACTTTCTAGACAAATTGCGTGCCTCTGTAGGTCCAAGCTGATGAAGAATGCAAACACGCAAGTAAATGGTATCAAGATCATCAGCTACATCTCCTTTGCTCTAGAGAAACAAGATTTTGCATAATCTGATCATCAGAACTTTGAAGAAGACCAAACAAATCAAGGTCCAGATACTTGAGCAACAACAGATGAGACACTTTGATCATTGACTAAGGATAATCCATTAAATATTTGTCAATAACACAAATAGAAATGAATCTTAAATCCTTATAAAGAATCCTTCTAGGATCATCTACCTGATAAACCATCTGA